TTCTTGAACATTCCTGGCATACATGATACATCATTAGTTCTTTAACAATAACAATTAAAATAAACAAAATAGGGCATAAACTCATATTTTCTTTTATTAAAATCCAACTTTTATTTTGAATTATAAAAATAAAACAATAAAAAAAAATAAAACCGATTTTTAACCATTTTTGACCGATTTTTGCCACCGAGTTTGACCCGCCTGAAAGGTTTGACCGCCTCGGACCGCCTCAGACCTCCTAAAACCGCCTCACAGGCAAAAAACCGATTTTTCAAACCTTTAAACTAAAATCGTAAAGGTTTTGGACCGCCTCCGCCTCGGAGACCGATTAATCGGCCGCCTCGACCGATTTTTAGAACACTGCTATTTATAGTGGTACAATAAGAGTCCTACATAAAGTCTTCTTGATGATGTGGCGCGATTTGATTGGTCCTCTTTAAATTGATATTTATCTCTTATAACTTGGAAGAGAAGAAATAATCTTATTGACCAATAATTAATTGATAATTATCTCCATGACTTATTTTGCAAGATAAAATATAATCTTGGAATTCAATTTAATATAATATAAATTATATTAAATTTACGTTTCTACAAATGCCCCCTCGAGACTTGTTCACGGACAATGCATCTTGGAGTGAATGAGTCTCGATAATTGCTTAATTTCAATTGCAGCTTGATCTAGTAAAGCACATACATCTTTGAAATCACGACTGAACTTAGAGAAATTTTAAGTTGCCTACGTACCCTATATTGGGATCAAATCATAACGTAGTTCAAAATATATCATTTTGAGGGATGTCATGCACAGTTTATACTCATGTGGACAATGAGAAATATATGCAGTTTAAGCTCGTGTTGAAGGACCATTTGACTTTAAATTGTGGATAGTTTACGCTCGTATCAAGGACCATTGACTTGATTTGGATATGTAGATAGTTTATGCTCTTATCAAGAAGCCTTGACTTGATTTGAATATGTATAGATAGTTTATGCTAGTATGAAGGAGCCTTGATTTGACTTGGATATGTAGATAGTTTATGCTCGTATCCAGGAGCATTGATTTGATTTGGATATATAGATAGTTTATGCTCGTATCAAAGAGCCTTGATTTAATTTGGATATGTAGATAGTTTATGCTCGTATCATGGAGCTTTGACTTGACTTGGATATATAGATAGTTTATGCTCGTATCAAAGAGCCATGATTTGATTTGGATATGTAGATAGTTTATGCTCCTATCAAGGAGCCTTGATTTGATTTGGATATATAGATAGTGTATGCTCGTATCAAGGAGCCTTGATTTGATTTGGATAGTTTATGCCCGTATCAAGGAGCTTTGATTTGATTTGAACTTGTAGACCTTTTAAACTCGTGTCAATGAGTATTTCACTTGATTTGGACTAGTAGACCTTTTAAACTCGTGTCAAGGAGTTTTTCACTTGATTTGGACATGTAGACCTTTTAAACCCGTGTCAGGAAGTACATCATTTGATTTGAACATATAGACCTTTTAAACTCATGTCAAGGAGTACTTCACTTGATTTGGACATGTAGACCTTTTAAACTATTGTCAAGGAGTGCTGATTTGATTTGACTTGTCGTTGCATAGGATGTTGTTTCTTCAAAAGACTTGCCCCCATCCTCATGATCTTCTTGTTCTTCTTCGATATGTTCTTCTTTGAGTTGGTATGACTTTTGGAATGAAGGTTCTTCAATTTGATTTGCAAGTATGATCAACTCCATATCATGCGCTCGAGTGGCTAACTCTTCAAAACTTTTAGGTTGAATTCCTTGAAGGATATATCGAACTCCCCTTGCATTCCCTGGATACACAGTTTAATAGCTGATGTCTCAGGTAGTCGATCCTTGCAATTAAGGCTCTAATTTCTCCAACGGTTGATGTAGTCGATGACAGGTTCCTTCTTCCCCTGGCGGGAATTGGTGAGCTCAATCATGCTGACTGTTCTTCTAGTGCTGTAAAAGCGGTTTAGAAATTCTTCCTCTAAGTGCTTCCATCTATCAATGGAGTTTTCCCCCAAATCAATGTACCAATCAAACGCATTATCTTTGAGCGATCGAATGAATTGCTTGACGAGGTGATCTACGTACGTTCCGGCATCATTGCAAGTCTCAACGAAGTGTGCCACATGTTGCTTGGGGTTGCCTTTGCCATCAAATTGTTGAAACTTTGGAGGTACATAGCCCATTGACATCTTTAGACCATCAATCATTTGTGTGTATGACTTCACATAGGTTGATGGAGACTTTGAGCTTCCTTCGAACTTGTCTTTGATAGTTCCACTGATCAGCGTCATCACTTGATCTACATGAATCAACCCTTAGGGAGAAACTTGAAGTTATTGAGCTGGAGCATTATTGTTTTCAACTGGTTGTTGCTTTGTGGATGTCTCGACTTCGTCTTGAGCCTCTATGTGATTCTCCACAGCTTGACTAGCATCAACTTTTTTCCATCTTGTCGATCAACTTGGCAATTTGAGAATCTCGTTGTTGAACATGCTTTGTGAGTCCCTCAATAGCCTTGGCCAAACTTGCAATTTGTTGTTCCATGGTTGTAGCGTTTGTCGTCATGACGGATTCCACCTTTGAGTAGCTTGATGTTGAACGAGGCGTGGGCTGTGAAGTCTCTCGTTTTGAACCTTCCACGTCTGCACTTGTGTTGACAAGAGGTGGTAAACCTTTATCAATCATTTGGAGCGTCAAGCTAGTCTCGGAGGATGTTTGCAGCTTCTTAGCCATACTCCTTGTAAGTACGCCCACACTTGACGAATCCGAAGTAGCAGTCTTTATTGCGAACATAAAGCAGTCACTGCAACACTTCGAGGATCATCGAGAGAGATAAGAGATGAGAGGTAGAGAGGTCCCACCGGGCGTGCCAAAATTTGTAGCAACAAATTTTTATCTGCGATTTAAGCAAACAAGAAAAACTTGCACAAAGATTATTTATTGAACTAAAAATAAGTATTGCGGCTTACAAACTCTAATTTAATCCGCTGATTCTTCTCTCATGAACAATATATAGTTGACTTTGAAAGTTCGGAGTCGGGTCGTTGATTTGATCTTCTTCGGATTTGATTTTGAATTTGAATAACGTTTTCCAAGGGTCTTGCGACTTGAGTCTCGGATCGTATGCTGAACTTTGACGAACTTTGAGTTGAAGATCTTGAAGTTCTGGATGGATTTGGCCATTCAATCTTCCTTCGATCTTGATTTGATGTTAATAACGTTAATTCGAGGGTTTAGCACCATAATCTCGAATTAAACGCTTTCACGACTTGATTTGGTGAAGAACACCTTCGATTTGATGAAGAACGACTTGAATATTGTAGAGAGAATTTCTCTACGATTTTTTCTTCTTCTTGAGTTGTCTTTTGAATTGTGTAGGGAGGGTCCATATTTATAGTGGTAGAATAAGAGTCCTACATAAAGTCTTCTTGATGACGTGGTGCGATTTGATTGGCTCTCTTTAAATTGATATTTATCTCTTATAACTTGGAAGAGAAGAAATAATCTTATTGATTAATAATTAATTGATAATTATCTCCATGACTTATTTTCCAAGATAAAATATAATTTTGAAATTCAATTTAATATAATATAAATTATATTAAATTTACGTTTCTACAGTAACGTAACAATATTACTATCTACGGTTGTAATATTATTGTAAACACAATAATATTACTATGGTTGACGGTAATATTACTGTTGTTACAGTAATATTATTGTCAATCACATCAATATTAATTCTTTTGGCTTTTTATTATGTTTGCCTTTGTTGAATGGTCAACATATTAATATTACTCTATTACCCAATAATAAGGACTTTTGTTGCGTCAATATTGTTGTGCTAGAGATTAATATAACAATATTATTGTGTTAAACTGTAGTAGTAGTTAATATTACTGTGGTTAACAGTAGGGGTGTAAACGAGCCGAGCCGACTCGTGAGCTCGAAGAGCCGGCTCGTAAAAAGCTCGAACTCGGACTAGAGATTTTCGAGCTCGAGCTCGAGCTCGCGAGCTCGAGCTTTCTGACGAGCCGAGCTCGAGCCAGTTTTCAGTTGTTCATGAGCTCGCGAGCCGGATTTATTATTATTTTTTTATTTTTATTTTTATTTTTTATATGTTATTTTTATTTAAATAATGTAAAATATTATAGAAATAAATACAAATATTAAAAATATATATAATATACATTTTTTTTAATTTTTTTTTTAAAAATAATTTTTAATAATAAAATAATAATTAAAAAAATATTTAAAAAAAAAAAAAAAAAAAAGACAATGGGCTCGAGCTCGAGCTCGACAAAATTGACACGAGCTCGAGCTCGAGCCAAAAACAGAGGAGCTCGCGAGCTCGAGCTCGAGCTCGAGCTCGACAAAATAAACTCGAGCTCGAGCTCGAGCCAGCCAAAAGAGGCGAGCTCGGCTCGAGCTCGGCTCGTTTACACCCCTAGTTAACAGTAATATATTTAATGATACTGCCAACCACAACAATATTTGTTGTTTAAATGGGGTTAAAAAAATGTTAAAGAAAAAAATATAAAATAAATAAATAAATGGAAAAGTCAACGCCGGAGACCGGCGATCAACGGCTGCGACAGACGAAATTGTATTCAAAATTGATTAATTTGTGAAATTTTGGGTTAAATTGAGGTTAAATTAAATTATAAAATGAAATTGGAGCATATTAAAATGTGATGGACTATTTTAGTCTTTTGTAAAACTTCTGGACAATGTGTGAACTTTTTTGTAAAAGAGTATTTTGTCTGAACAGCTTTATTTTAGTTAAAGTTTCAAGCGACGTCCGTACGCTGGTAGACTTCTATAGTGCATTCTTAGGTGGGCCAAGCCGACCCATTTTGATTGCACTAATTGGATGTACATCTGTTTTACGAGAGGCCCAATTCCAGCTCATACAATCTAGTCTGCTTGACTACTCACTCTGTGGGTGAATTTGGACCTGTCATACAATAACATAGAGCTTAAAAATCATTTTCTGAAATCCCTTGGTATGCAAAATAATCTCAGCTCGACAATGGCTGCGTTAGCTTCTTCTCTTTCTTCCTCAGTAGGATACCAAAATTCATCACTTTTTTCTGGACCGCTATTCAAGGCAAAGGCGCAAAATTTGAGACAATTTTACAGTGCTAGGCTGAAAGTAATGGCTGCCAGTGATGGGTCTGCTAAGAAACCGAGTAAGCCTAAAAAAGAAGTTGTGGACCCTTCAGTTCCTTCATGGGCTAAACCCGGTTCGGATGAGCTTCCTCCATGGGCCGAACAAGAAACCCAAAAAGATTCCTCCACCTTTCAGCTTCCCTTTGTGGTTTACTTACTTGGATCTGCTGTCGTTGCCATTGCTGCGGTAAAATACAATTATTTTTCTCTTTCATTTCGTTTTTATTATTATCCAAGTGCTTTTTGGTAGTTAATAATTCGCTGAGGGGAAATAAAATAAAATGTGTGATGAAGGAATTTAAAATAAATTCAGTATTTGGTGAATGAATGTATAAAGGTTTTGATGATTGTTTATGCAGATTGGTTCTATTTTTGAGTATGTGAATCAAAAGCCTGTGTTTGGAGTTTTGAACTCGGACAGCGTGTTCTATGCTCCTTTGCTTGGATTCTTCGTATTCACCGGCATTCCTTCTTCTGTAAGTTTGCCTCAATTCTCTTATATGCGAATTCAATTTTGAATAACGATAATGAAAACGAAGAAAAGGATAAATGTCTATATTCACAAAGGTCTTCAAGTTCATCATCTTCCTTAAACGATTCATAATCTTTAAGGCCTCGTTTGGTTGCCAAGATAAGATTAAATAATGTACTGAAATGCAATTGTATTATTGGACCTTGGAAAATCCAATAAAAAACATGCCTAGAGGAACCAGGATAACATTATATTTTTGCGACTCGACCTGACAAGTTATTGGCATACCAAATATCAAATAAAGTCTAGTTATTCAGTTAATCATGACTAATCTCCCTTACCAAACGAGGCCTAAATTGATTCATGATGTTGCTATGTTTTTTCGTATTAATTATATATTAAGGTCTGATATGCCTGATGCTGTTAATCGAAAACTGTTAACTTTTGCAAAATAATCGAATACAGGCATTTCTTTGGTACAAATCTGTTCAAGTTGCTAACAAAGAGGCAGAGGAACAAGACCGGAGGGATGGATATCGGTAGAGTCATTTGATAGCATTGTCATTCCCGAGTATAATTTTTTATCTTCGAACTAATCTGAATTTTTATAGAGCCATATCAGTTCTCTTACATACCATTTTTTCTTGTGCAGACACGCTTATATTTAAATGTTTCATTGTAAATTCCAATCATCTACATATGTTTCAATGAACATTATGCTACTACATTCTTGAATGCTTGGTTTCCATGCACTAGGGATAAGAAGAGTTCTATTAATAATGTTTAAATTTTAGTCCCGTCGACTTTCCAGGGATAATCTGTTTTAGAGTATTACTAGAGATAAAATATATGTCACGATGGCTTATTAGATCCTACAATTGGTGTGGTTTTAAACCGTAGATCTACATAAATAACCGTCCACTAAGCACACATGTACACGTATGTGTGTTTTATTATGTGTAGATCAACGGTTTAAAACTAGATGATGTATTTCACAAAATGTAAGTTCTACAAATCCATGTAATGATTCACCTCACTATGAAAATGCTCAACTTTTCTTTTGAAATGAATTCGTTATTCAATACGTCTTAATAATATAGTGGGATAATGTGTTAACACGAGGTATCTTACAAAATGAACACGGAGCATGATATAGGCAAGAATTCCATGTTTGCGTACATTCCAATAAGATACATCCAGAATGAACTGAATAGCCTATGAAATGAATTTAAAGTTCTTTAATTTTTATTTATTTATTTTGGTCAGAAAAAAAAAAAGCTTATTTTCCAACTTTTCTGGCTCTTATGCAGTGGGTCCCCCGTGAAGTTGATTTATCTCCATCATAATCTGATTTTCGTAATTAATTTCTTAGTTCTAACCTCAGCATTAGGAACAAATTTATATATATTGATATGCCTAATTGGGCCAACCCAATGGGCCTACAATTTCTTTACCTACTGGGCTACGAGCCCAATATCGAAGACTAATATCACCGAGGCCCAAACACCTTCAAGTAAGGCTTGGGCCCAACAAAGCAAACCCAACCCAATAAACGACATATAAATAGAGGTTTTCCTCATTTTATTAAGGTACGTCCTATTAACTGAGCAATACTATCAACTGTATTCTCTGGACTATTTCTATGATCAGCACGTCTGACTTGAGCGTCGGAGGGGTTTCCGCCGGATCAACCCCCGGCTTAGTTCATGTGTTCTATGATCGCAGGTACCTCAGGATCATCAAGTTGTCAAGCTACTGATCTGCTTTGCTCTCCCAGCTCATTTTCTACACTACCCCAGGTGATCTACTTTTTAGCATCATCATTTTGGCGCCGTCTGTGGGAATTACCTCGCAACGGGTTATAGGGCGGAGCGAGTGTCTCCTCGTGGGAGTTATCTCGCTATGGTTTCGTAGACCCGAGGGAATTGACTCCTCATGTCACCGGAGTAGTGCAGAAAACGAGCTGGGATAGCAAAGCTGATCAGTAGCTAGTCAACTCGATGATCCTGAGGTCCCTACAAAATGAGCACACGTGAACTAAGCCGGGGGTTGATCCGGCAGAAACCCCTCCGACGCTCAAGTCAGATGTACGGATCGTAGAGATAGTAGAGAGAATAAAACTCGGAGTTGATTGTGAAAATATTAGAACGTACCTTTACAAATGAGTAAAACATCTATTTATATATCGGTGATTGAGTCGGGCTTACTTTGTTGGGCCCAAGCCTTACTTTGAAGGTGTTTGGGCTTTCGTGTAGTGGGCCTAGTTAGTAGATAAATTTGAGGGCCCATTGGGCCGGCCCATTTATGTATATCATTAAGCCCCCCAACTCTCGATTCGAGACGGGGACTTGTGTAGAGGGGTCCGGGTCGTGTCGAGAGTTAATTGTGTCGTGGATTGAATAGTTTCCGTTGGCGGTGAATTAATTCGTTGACTTAAATAAGGGATAATTGTATTTATTTGGCAGCGAGGTATATGCTTAAGGGTTTTAAATATTATACTAGGGCCAGATAAATAGACTCCTTTTGCGGTGGAAAAAATTAAACTTCATCTCCTTCGTAATAAATATGGGTATGTACTTTTAACTGTAGGTATTCTTCTGTGCTATTTTTCTCTTGAAAACTTTTTTGCGGTAGAGTAGAAATTTTTTGTTTCTTGATTGTTTCGTCGGAGAAAATTATTTTTCATGTCGAACCCGGGTAAGTCGAAATCTTTGCGTATTAAACTTCGAGATCCGGTTGAAGGTGGGGAGAAATCTTTTGGTACGGTGGGTATGGAACGCGAGAAGGTAGTAGGATCGAGTGGGGAAATCGGATCTGCGGTAGGTAGTGCACGAATTGAGAAGAAAAAAAACGTTTTAGAAGGCGCGGCTGCGGGCGTAGACTCGAGCCACGCAGCCAACCGCCAAAAGTCCAGTGGTGGTGCGTTCCTCGAAGGCGGCTTGGAGCCGGTCGAAGCCACGGAGCCGTTGGCTTGCGTCGGAATCGAGGAGGGGAGAGAGAGTAGCAGCGAGCACGTGGCCCAATGGGTGAGGGATGCGCGCGCGCGTGGGGCACGCTGGCCAAGGTACGCGCGCGCGCGTCTGTGAGGGAGGGTGAAGAACGCGCGCGCGCGTCGGGCGTGGGGGGACGCGCGCGCGATTGGGGGGTGTGATGCAAGCGCGCGTGGAGGCGGGGGCAGATCTGGGGGACGCGCGCGCGAGTCAAGCGCGCTTCCCATTGGTGACGCGCGCGCGTCCGTGGGCGGCAGTGATGTCGCGCGTGTGAGCGCGTCCAAAGGGTTCCCGTCCGCGCGTGGGGGCGCGTCGGACGTCTGTTTTCCGGCGCGTGGCGGCGCGTCAGGTGCTGTTTTTCAGCGTTCGTCGCGCGATAGTGATGGTCGAGCGGATGAGGGTTTAGACTTAGTTGATGGTGTGAACGTTAGGGGTTCCGTAAGGCGAGAAATCATTGAATCTTGGAGTGACGATGTAGAAACGAGTATTCACGTTAGTGAGCAAGTAGATGGAGTTATTGCTAGTAGGCGTTATTCTCAACGCCAACTCGTGGATTTTGGGAGCGATAGTGACGATTCTAATCAAGCCCCTTTGGCAAATGATCACAACCTCAGAACAACAACCAACTTGCCACGTGCAGGTTCAGGTTTGACAACTTCTCAGGGCATCACCTGACGTCGTGACCGAGATCTACTTCTAGACCATCCTGTGATGATCCTCGAGACATATCTCAGGACGTCATTTGACGTCGTGACCGAGATCCCCTTCTAGACCCCCTCGTGATGATCCTCGAGGCTATCTTCGAGATGACACTTGAGGTCACGCTCGAGATCCACTTCGAAACCTTCAGCAAGACCCTCATCAACCAGCTCCACCTCACATGGTTCAGATAACCAAAGAGGATATTCGACATATGATCGACTAGGCCATTCAGATGTCCTACTTCAGCTACATCTGATGTCATACCTAAGGTACATCAGATGTCCTACTTCAGCTACATCTGCTGTCATACCTCAGGTACATCAGATGTCAACTACATCTCATGTCATACTTCGAGTACATCAGATGTCCTACTTCAACTACATCTGATGTCATACCTCAGGTACATCAGATGTCATACTTCAGCTACATCTGATGTCATACCTCAGGTACATCAGATGTCAACTACATCTGATGTCATACCTAAGGTACATCAGATGTCCTACTTCAGCTACATCTGATATCATACCTAAGGTACATCAGATGTCCTACTTCAGCTACATCTGCTGTCATACCTCAGGTACATCAGATGTCAACTACATCTGATGTCATACTTCGAGTACATCAGATATCCTACTTCAACTACATCTGATGTCATACCTCAGGTACATCAGATGTCATACTTCAGCTACATCTGAAGTCATACCTCAGGTACATCAGATGTCAACTACATCTGATGTCATACCTAAGGTACATTAGATGTCCTACTTCAGCTACATGTGCTGTCATACCTCAGGTACATCAGATGTCAACTACATCTGATGTCATACTTCGAGTACATCAGATGTCCTACTTCAGCTACATCTGCTGTCATACCTCAGGTACATCAGATGTCAACTACATCTGATGTCATACTTCGAGTACATCAGATGTCCTACTTCAACTACATCTGATGTCATACCTCAGGTACATCAGATGTCATACTTCAGCTACATCTGATGCCATACCTCAGGTACATCAGATGTCAACTACATCTGATGTCATACTTCGAGTACATCAGATGTCCTACTTCAACTACATCTGATGTCATACTTCAAGTACGTCAGATGTCCTACTTCAACTACATCTGATATCATACTTCAAGTACATCAGATGTCCTACTTCAACTACATCGGATGTCCTACTTCAAGTACATGAGATGTCTTATAGCCACGAGAAAACTCTCGAGTCGCTACTACGTCGCAGCGGGACAACTCCCCCGACGCCTACACTTAGCCTCGAGACAGCTCTTGAGTCGTTACCACGTCGCAGCGGGACAACTTTCCCGACAATAATATTTAGCATCGAGACAACTCTCGAGTCGATATAACATCTGGGCGATACAACTCCCCAGTTACTACTTACCCGTGTGACAACTCTCGCGCTTCAACTAAATTGTGGTGAAACATGTCTCAAAATGCTCGGCCCTACCACCTCGCGACGAGACAACTCGTTCGAGGCTACCACGCGCAAACGCGACCTCCGACGCTCATGCCTTGCGCTGCAATGCCGCGCACGCCCTTGCCGCCGCGCGCGCACGCCGGCCTTGCGCCCCAACACCGCGCCGCGGGCCCCCTAGCCTTGCGCCTTTAGCGGGCGCTAGCGCCGTGCGCCCTCGCCGACGCGCGTTAGCGCCGCACGCCCTCGCCGACGCGTTCTAGCGTCGCGCGCCCTCGCCGAGCTCCTTCACCGACGTGCGCTAGCGCCGCGCGCCTATCCCTCGCGCATCATCGCCTTGTGCTCCCACGCCATGCGTACCATCCCCGCATCACGTAACTCCTCCTGAGCTGGGGGGCTAACACACCCCAAGGGTTGGACATCCCATCCCAAAGGCTGGGTATCCCTCACCTCTCTACATCAATTTCAGCGTATAATCGCGAAAGCTTCAACTTGTGCTACCACTGAAGCAGTGGCACCATACGTCGTCATAGCAGGAGCCAACGCTCCTCCTCGTGAGGCCCCACTGGGTCCTCAACATGATCAATTTCTACTTACTTCTCGAACGGTTCAGATAACCGAGGAGGCCCTTCAACTTATGATTACGGAATATTCAACTCGTGCTGCCACTGAATCGGTGGCACCATATATCGCCAAGGTTGGGCATCTCACCCCAGTGGTTCGTGATCCCTTCATCCTAAATGGGGGGCTATCCCATCCTAAAGTTGGGTATCTCATCTCAAGGGTGGTACATCCACTTACCTTTCAACCCCAAGGGGTTTCACATCCCATCAAGTGTTTCACGTCCCTACTTCAAAAAACAGAAAAAATGGTCTGACGCGCACGCGCGAACCAATGGCACAACCGTGCACATCCACCTCAGACCATAGGTCTCGAGCGCCTCATCCTACAGTGGGCAGTTATCCCCATCCTAAGGTTGGGCATGACCCTTACCTTTCAACCCTAAGTGGGTTCACATCACATCGCAAGAATGAGGATAATCTCCCCACTCAAAAAATAGAACATCCCCAAGGGGGTGCACATCCCATCTCAAGGAACGAGGATAATCTCCATACTCAAAAAATAGAACATCCCAAAGGGGGTGCACATCCCATCTCAAGGAACGAGAATTATCTTCCTACTCAAAAAATAGAACATCCCCAAGGGGGCGCACATCCCATCTCAAGGAACGAGGATAATCTCCCTACTTAAAAAATAGAACATCCCCAAGAGGGGTGCACATCCCATCTCAAGGAACGAGGATAATCTCCCTACTCAAAAAATAAAACATCCCCAAGGGGGTGAATATCAACCAAATAAAAAAGAAAAAGAAAAAAGATGAAGAAAAAAAAAGAAGAAAGAAGACGAAGAAAAAAGAAAAGAAGAAAGAAGAAGAAAAAAGAAGATGAAAAAATAGAAGAAAAAAGAAGAAGATGAAAAAAGAGAAGAAGAAAGAAGAAGAAAAAAGAAGATGAAAAAATAGAAGAAAAAAGAGAAGAAGAATTAGAAGAAAAAAGAAAAACAACAAAAGAGAGAAGAAGAAGACAAAAGAAGAAAGAAAAAGAATCAAAAAAGACAAAAGAAAGAAAAGGACAAAAGACAACAAAAAACGCGCGCGTCAGCGCGCTCCGCCCAAGGGCGCCTCGGTACGCGCGAACGCGGAAAAAAAAAAAAAAAAAAAAAAAAAAAAAAAAAAGGACAGGAGGCGCGCGTGCACAGCACGCGCGCGTGGCGTACACGCGCAAGACGCGCGCGCGTGCAATGCACGCGCGCCAACAGCAAAAAAAAAAAAAAAAAAAAAACTACACAGAACGCGCGTGGCGTCCACGCGCCAACGCGCGCGTGCGCGTCACGCGCCCCAGCTATCTCTCTCAGCGCGTGCACAGCACGCGCCCCACCCTCTCTCTCCTACTTTTTCTGGTCCGCGCGCCTCCCCATGCCCCATCAAATCACTACCCTCCCATCACTCTTTCTCTCTCTCTGCGCATTAATTGCGCCCGCCCAATAGCTGCGCGTCCTGGGGGCGCGCACGCTCTCCAATGCGCGCCTTCTCTCCTGCTTTGGAGTGCGCGCAACTATAGCCGCCCTCCACCAAATTGCGCGTAGATTTTGATTCGCTTGACCAAATCGCACGAGAATTTCAACGCGCTCAATGAAATTGCGCGAGCTCTCCCGCGCGCCTCACCATAACGCGCGCCTCCCAAGGCAACCTTGGAGCGCGCGCTCCCACTTAATAGGGCGCAACTTTTACTACTCTCCACCAAATTGAGCGTAGATTTCACACCGCTTCACCAAATCGCGCGAGAATTTCAACGCGCTCAACCAAATTGCGCGAGCTCTCCCGCGCACCACACCATAACGCGCATGCTCTCACACGGATAAAAAAAAAAAAAAAAAAATTATCCACGCCATGCTAACGATTAACGCAAGACTACAGTACCGATCTACTCTCAATACGATCCGGTACCCCTTTCAACTTGGCTCCCACATCGCCTCGAGAGTGGGGGGCTTGCGAGACAACTCCCACGAGGAGCCAACTCGCTCAGTACTACCACCCGCAGCGAGATAACTCCCATGAGGAGTCAATTCCCTCGGGTCTACGAAACCATAGCGAGATAACTCCCACGAGGAGACACTCGCTCCGCCCTATAACCCGTTGCGAGGTAATTCCCACGAGGAGCCAACTCCCTCGGGTCTCATAACCATAGCGAGATAACTCCCACGAGGAGACCACTCGCTCCGTCCTATAACCCGTTGCGAGGTAACTCCCACGAGGAGCCAACTCCCTCGGGTCTCATAACCATAGCGAGATAACTCCCACGAGGAGACCACTCGCTCCGTCCTATAACCCGTTGCGAGGTAACTCCCACGAGGAGCCAACTCCCTCGGGTCTCATAACCACAGCGAGATAACTCCCACGAGGAGACCACTCGCTCCGTCCTATAACCCGTTGCGAGGTAACTCCCACGAGGAGCCAACTCCCTCGGGTCTCATAACCACAGCGAGATAACTCCCACGAGGAGACAATTCGCTCAGAGCGACCTCAGTCGCGCGCCATCCGATGCTTCTACAACTCCCTTGCGAGACAACTCCCACGAGGAGCCAACTCGCGCAGTAATACAACCTGCAGCGAGTCAACTCCCAGAGGAGACAACTCGTTCGGTCCTACAACCCCTTACAAGGAAACTCCCACATGCAACCACCTCACTCGATAAATATTACTCACCGCGAGACAACTCCCATGAGGAGACAACTCGCCCGAAATTCACTATATAATCACAAGCTCAAGTTAGCACGATTACAACCCTAGAAGCACTTAGAGACATTATGAGAATCTATATAGCCTGGCCAGCTTGATTACTCAAATTTATCTATTTGTTTTCGATGGGTCATTCATTAAAACGTGGCCACGGTCCAAACATACTTAAGACCCACGAGGTCTAACAAGGGGCACGACCCCCATAAAAAAAAAAAAAAACCTTGAGAGTCTGATCCCCTCCTCAAGTATATCACGCACAAGGCTATATGTAAACACATATAAGCAACGCGTCAAAACATTGACAATGTCAAAAAATAACAACTCCCACGAGGAGAATACTAGCTCCGTGCTATTACATTATCGTGAGACAACTTCCACTAAGACGTAACTCGATCAACTCGATTACCCCAGAGACAACTCCCACGAGGAGAATACTTGATCCGTGCTACTACATTATCGCGAGACAACTCCCACGAGGAGATAACTCGATCAACACTATTACCCCGCGACAAGACAACTCCCACGAGGAGATAATTCGCTACTACATCGTCGCGGGACAAAACCGACGACTCAATTAACTTACATCGCGACAACCTTGTCGCGTTATGCGCCAACGCGCATTCACGCCCCTCCGACACACGCTCCAACGCGTTTTCGCATACCATTAGGCCATACGCCAACGATCGACTTCTACAATTTTTACTCTCGACACGATCTGAGACCCATCACAACATGGCCCCCACATCGACTCGAGAGTGGGGGGCTTAATGATATGCCTAATTGGGCCAACCCAATGGGCCTACAATTTCTTTACCTACTGGGCTACGAGCCCAATATCGAAGACTAATATCACCGAGGCCCAAACACCTTCAAGTAAGGCTTGGGCCCAACAAAGCAAACCCAACCCAATAAACGACATATAAATAGAGGTTTTCCTCATTTTATTAAGGTACGTCCTATTAACTGAGCAATACTATCAACTGTATTCTCTGGACTATTTCTATGATCAGCACGTCTGACTTGAGCGTCGGAGGGGTTTCCGCCGGATCAACCCCCGGCTTAGTTCATGTGTTCTATGATCGCAGGTACCTCAGGATCATCAAGTTGTCAAGCTACTGATCTGCTTTGCTCTCCCAGCTCATTTTCTACACTACCCCAGGTGATCTACTTTTTAGCATCATCATATATACATACAGGTTATAATAAAATGGTTCTCATTGTGTCCTTAGCTGATAGTCCTCGGATATCTATAGGCAAATATTGCTAGTAAACTACAGTAATTGTTTATTCCTTTGGTTATAACGTCTGAATTTGTATTATACCGACGTCAACTAAGAAGAATCTTGATCACAACAGAATTCTCTCTAATTATATATTTGCTTCCACGAGCCATGAGCGTGTCTCGACTGGAAATCCACACTCCCCCGCCAGAATTAATAATGGCTGCCGGTGCTGAGATCAAGCTTTCTGTTAATAGTAACAATAATAATAATAATAATAATAATAATAATAATAATAATAATAATAATAATAATAATACAGAGGACGAAGAAGAGAAAAGGGTTAACCTGATACAACGGGCTCAGTGGCTGAGAGCAGCCATTCTTGGAGCAAACGACGGTCTGCTTTCCACAACTTCCTTAATGCTCGGTGTCGGTGGCGCTAAAGAGGATGAGCGGCTTATGATAATCTCCGGACTAGCCGGTGCAATTGCAGGTGCCTTCAGCATGGCTGTCGGAGAATTTGTATCCGTTTCTACTCAGAGAGACATTGAACATGCCACCACCACCACCACCACCACAGATATTCATAAATGCATTAATGATAACGACAAAAGTATCAAGCCTCGGGAAATATCCATGCCCGTTGATCATGAGCCGTCAACAGATACACAAACAAATAATCCACTGCTACCAAATCCGTATAAAGCTGCTGGGGCTTCTGGGTTGGCCTTTTTGTGCGGATCACTAGTTCCCTTACTTTCGGGAATGTTGATTCCTGGATACAAGACCAGAGCTGTCGGTATAGTGTTGGTGACGTCTGTCGCACTTGTAATATTTGGTGGTGCCGGAGCACGTCTTGGCGGACGTTCATCGGTTCGGATATCTGCTCTTAGGGTTCTTTTTGGAGGGTGGATTTCAATGGCTTTTACCTATGGTTTCCTTAAGGCTTTGGATACCGATCGTAAGGGTCATGATTCTGATTAGATTGCTATTTACGTATCCTAAAAACATATACTAGGGGCTGTTTTATCTATACGTTGTATCATACACACCACACATCAAAGTGCAGTTCCATGAAAGTTTCATTACTTTTTCGTATTCTTTTAATAAAAGTTACAAGTCTTGCATTTAATTAAAATTTGGATAGATGAATATAAGACTGGATGCAAAGTTAATCAACCAAGATTTGAACAAATGATGCAACTCTTATGATTCATCAACAACAGGATGGTCTGACTTTTCTGTTTCTATTGAACACTAGTAACTAGTAAGTAACACATGCCTCCCACGTGATTCTTACTTTAATTTATAAATAAAATTTAAGATTTAGCTATTTAAAGAAAATTTTGAAACATTTCATAAAATTTAGTTTGATTTGAATAAATTATATAAATAAATAAATTCATCTACAAATTATTTATTATGATCAAATAAAATTATCTTGCGAATTAAAATTAGTAAAAAATTTACTTCATTTTTTTTCTTGTTGGATAACAATGATTAATGGGCAAATGACAAATAGGTCCATGATAAAGACATTTAATTAAAAAAAGGATATCCTATTTTTTGGTCTTAAAAATATATCCACCTCATTCAAACTTATTTGCTAACATAGAAAATTCTTTCATATATACCAAAATTACCTCAAACTCCTTGAAACCTTAGTTCAACTCCAATATCGACCATTACTTCAATTTTTTACGATTACTCCAATTTTTACTACCACCGGTCTCCGGCGTTGACTTTTTTTTTATTTTTTTTATTGAAAACTTTCTTTTTTTCTGAATTTTTTTTCCAGCAGGTCAGTTGCTGGTCTCCAGTGTTGATTTTTTTTAAAGTATTTTTCATTCATATTTTTTCTTGGCCTGCAATATTACTGTCTCCTAATTGTACTGTCTAAGACAATATTATTGTTGTTAATACAGTAATATTAATGTATTAATTAATTTTATCGTCTTGGCCTGCAATATTGCTCTCTCCGACCGTAATATTAATGTTTTGGTATTGAATATTACTTTCTCAGATAATTATTTTTTTGTTAACGCAATAATTTAAGGAGACAAAAAAATACAAAAAAAAAGTCAATATCGGATCCTGATGGGGAAAATATTTCAGATTTTTTTTCTTAAAAAAAAAAAGGAAAAAATTCTAGGCCGGAATTTGATTGGAAAATAATAAACCACACAAAAAATATTTTCTAAAAAAAATATTTTTCCCAAAAAATGTGAAAATGGGGGTTAATGTGATATACTGTTCAAATTCGGGGTCAATGAGTAATATTGATGAAGTTATAGTGGAATGGATGAAATTGATGAAAATTATATTATGAGGGGTATTTTAGACAAAATAAATGAGGATAGGTTAATTTCTGAACCTGTTTTTTTTTTTTTCCTTTACAAATAAGCCCATCAATGAGTCATTATTCATAAAGAGATCCAAACAATAAACTCTTTTACAAAAAAGTCCACACATAGTCCAAAGGTTTGTAACAAACTAAAGTAGCCTCTTATACTTTAATATGCTCCAATTTCATCATTTAATTTAATCTAACCTCAATTTGACATCAAATTTCACAAATAATTTTTTTTTCTCTTGCTGATTTTTCCGCCGGTCTCCGTCGTTGACTTTTTTTCTTTTTTTTTTCTTTAACATCTTTTTTTCCCCGTTCAAACAACAATATTGCTATGATTGACAGTAATATTAACTATATTACCGTTAAACACAGTAAAATTATACTACAGTTTACTAATATTGCTATATTAATCTCTAGCACAGTAATATTAACACATCTAAATTCATTATTATTGTGTAATAGAGTAATATTAATATGTTGACCGTTCAACAAATGTAAACATAATTAAAAGCCAAAAGAATTAATATTACTGTGAGTGACCGTAATATTGCTATAACAACAGTAATATTACCATGAACCACAATTATATTACAATAATAGACAATAATATTATTAGGTTACACCGTAAATGACTCAAACAAAACAAAAAAAACCCAAAAAAATAATAATATTGATGTGGTTGACAATAATATTACTATAACAATAGTAATATTACCGTCAACCACAGTAATATTATTGTGCTTACAGTAATATTACAATAATAGACAGTAATATTATTACGTTACTCTGTGATTAACTCAAACAAAACAAAAAAGACCAAAAAAATAATAATATTGATGTGGTTGACAATAATATTATTGTGTTTACAGTTATTTTACTGTCAACGACAGTAATATAATACGCTGACTTGTCAACAAATCAAACAAAATAAAAAAAAAATAACAAAAAAATAATAATAATATTACGTTAATTTATTGTCAACGGCAGTACAATTACATAAATGTATTGTCAACGGCAGTATGATTACGTTAATGTACTGTCAGTGACAATATAATTACGTTAATTTACTGGCAGTGACAGTATAATTACCGTTAATGACAGCACAATTACAGTCAACGTTTAGCGGCGGACGTAAAAAAGAAAAAAAAAACTAAAAAACACTAAAAAAATCAACGCCGGAATCCGGCGGTGGAAAAAACGTTACTTGAAAAAAAAATTAAAAATCAACGCCGGAATCCGGCGGCAGAAAAAAAAGAACAGAAAAATAAATACATAAAAAATATCGAAAAGTCAACGCCGGAATCCGCCGGCAAAAAAAGTTTTTTTGAAAAAAAAAAGTTTTTGAGAAAAAAAGTCAAAATTGGATTTTTGTGGTCAAATTTGATTAAATTGAGGTTACAATTAAGAATTGGATGTAAAGGGTTGGGAGTAATTTTGTCATTTACATGAATTTTTCTTTTATTTATAATAAATAATAAATGAATGAGTTTATTGGTGAAAGAAATATAGCCCATAAACCTAGAATAATATAAATGTTTGGTTAGGGACTTATACACAAAACCCACCTTTTTTTTAGGGTTTTTTGTGCATAGGTCCCTAATCAAGCATCTTTATTAGTCTAGGTTTAGGGCTATATTTCTTTCACCAATAAGCCATCTCTTTAATATTTAGGGGTAATTTTCTATAGACCCCCCATTACTAGATTCTATAGGTATTAACTCAACTCATAAGTCCAATTTTGCTAGAACCCCCTACAATTAATTATGGCCAATATACCCTTAAATAAAATAGGAAATTTTTAATCTTAAATCAGTAAATAGCAAATTTATTCCCCGTGAACCCATCTAGCAAAAATAGGGGCGAGATTATCTCGATCGTTGAATCTCTCCTAGAAACAAAAAATTCTCTCCCTTTTTATGCGAAACAAATACTGTAATCCTAGAAAAAATTGTGAAATTGATTTTTCTAATATATCATTGTTCTCGACGTCTTGTAGATGTAAATCTCAAAAGAAAGAAAAAAACGAGAGACAATGATTAAAGATGGAAAAAGTACAGGTGATTTGCTCTTCTATATCTGTTCTTTTATATTTTTAATGGCGATTTATTCACGAATTGTCATGAAAATTTTGATCAATGGATCGATAGATGTTGATATTGATTCTTCGACCCCAATTACCATATCTGTTTTTATGTGAAAATCATTGGTTTCTTGCTTTTGATTTTGCTGTTTTTGTTACATAATTTTTTTGATGTCGATTGCAACATGTTATTGGTTTTATCGCATCATAACAGCAAAGTGCAAAATAAACAGCAGCACGTTATTGGTTTCTTGCTTTTGATTTTGCTTTTTTTTTTGTATATTTTGCAGTTTGCTATTTATTTTGGATTTTGCTTATATGATGCGCATTTTGCTTTTATATTATATTTCATTTCGAATGTGTTGTTATCATAGTGTAAGTTGCATTTTACTGAAATATTTGCAGTTTGGTGTCGTAATAAATAGTTTCATCTATCATAACAAAATACTTGTTGAAAATATCTTATTGTCACTGTATCATTTGCATTTTGCAGTTTGTTGTTGACAATTGCATTTGGATATAGTTATTTGCATACTATTATTTGGTTGTTGTTGCCACTATTTTGTTGATGTTGTTGAAGTTTATATTTTTTTATGTTGTTGTCTCCAACTTGAAGTTTGTTGATGTTGTCCCTTTAGACGGATTTCATTTTCACTTGTGCAGTTCTGCATATTTTAATTTGCAGCTCGTCATTGCAAATTAATATTAGTTTTTGTTTTCTTCTTTTGGAATAACTATGAAAGGTTTCACATATTTTTTGGTTCTCTTCCTAAACTCGTATTAAATTTAATGTGTGTGTGGCTTTTTCTTTTCTTTTATATTTTGTCCTTTAATAATGTATTGCATATTGCGAGTAATTGTATTTTTTGCATCTCGTTGTTGCAACTTCGAACATTGTATTTCTCTATAGGGATTCAATGATGCGTTTTGATATTGTAATATGTATTGATGCAAATTTGTGCATATTTTAATTGGAAGCTTTTTTGGTTGAACTCGTAGTTTACTATCGCTACAACTATAGGCCATAAGAAAACCAACAAAAGATTCATTAGAGGTTGATGCTACTGACAAGATCATGTTTCTAGAAGATCCCCGATGACGTTTGGAAGTTGTGAATTCAGTCGGACGTCGAGACTATGTCCGTTATGACATCAACCCAGTCATAATCAATTATGATAGATTGTACTTTGTTCATTGACTATATTGCAACACTGCTTGTATCTATTGATTTGTATCTTACAATATTTCGTATTTAATGTACTGATTTTTTCCTAAATAAAAATGGTTTGTTGGTTTGTTATATCATCTTTTATTTCATATTTTATATTTTAAAAATATTTTATATTGTTCGAGGAAGAATAAACTCGAACCTCTGATGTTTGAGCAAATTATCATTAGTTCCATATTACGTTGTTGTGAAAAGACATTTGTAAAATAATAATTTTGCCATATGGTAGGTGATTCCGTATTATATTTATTTTGCTATTTATTTTTGCTGTTATAAATTGTAGTATGTATATTGCTAATTGTATTTTGCAATTTGTTGTTGTAACTTGATACAAGTATTTTGCAATTTTGCTATTTATTTTTGCTGTTATAATATAGAAAATAAAAAAAAAAAGGAGAGAGGGAGAGAGAGACGTGATTGAGAGGAGAGAGAGAGAGGGGAGTTAAATGAGAGAAAAGAAAGGGAGGGGGAGACGTGAGGGAGAA